CTGTTTAACGCGCTGTAGAGACTAGAGGACGCAGGCTGTTCACTGTTTAACGCGCTGTAGAGACTAGAGGACACAGGCTGTTCACTGTTTAACACGCTGTAGAGACTAGAGGACACAGGCTGTTCACTGTTTAACGCGCTGTAGAGACTAGAGGACACAGGCTGTTCACTGTTAAGCAGCGCTGTAGAGACTAGAGGACACAGGCTGTTCACTGTTAAGCAGCGCTGTAGAGACTAGAGGACACAGGCTGTTCACTGTTTAACACGCTGTAGAGACTAGAGGACACAGGCTGTTCACTGTTTAACGTGCTGTAGAGACTAGAGGACACAGGCTGTTCACTGTTAAGCAGCGCTGTAGAGACTAGAGGACGCAGGCTGTTCACTGTTTAACGCGCTGTAGAGACTAGAGGACACAGGCTGTTCACTGTTTAACACGCTGTAGAGACTAGAGGACACAGGCTGTTCACTGTTAAGCAGCGCTGTAGAGACTAGAGGACACAGGCTGTTCGCTGCTCGTTCTGTGAGCGGAGGAGAACGTCCCGCTCAGACTCTACTCAGCACTTTTCACTGCTGTAACTCTTACACCGCTGAATCAATGACTTCAAGTTTTACATTAAATGATGGATTATGATACAACTTGTATGTAGTAATAAGCATTTTTATGAACTACTTAGAAAAAAATTCGGGTTTAGCTTCTTTAAATGTGATTCTGCTCAAAGAGGAAGAAGCTGGAACCTTTAGACTCAAGTTCAATCACAGTGAAACTGTTAGAAACAGGAAGTTAGACAAGTATTTGCAGTACTTCTACTTCCCAGGATAGTGATCCTTGATATTTAGACCCTTTATTATTATTAATTATTAGCAATTATCTGAAACCAAACAACTGAATCCTTCGCTGTGTGATCTGTTTCTGGGCAAAATACTGTGTGTGTGTTTGTGTGTGTGTGCAGCATACACACACATTACCCCATCTGTCTCTTTACACATGCACACACTGAAGCGCAGGGTCCGGGACTGGGACCAGGACTAGGACTGAGACCAGGACTGGGACCAGGACCAGGTGCGACCCTGCTGCAGAGCTCAGGTGCAGACTCTTTGATCCAGTGGAACCATGTGTCACACTAGGACTGTGTGACACATGGTTCAGAACAAGGATACTTTAGTTTCCAAACACTGTCGTTCTCTCGAAGATAATCAAGTCTAAGATGTTTCCAGATTCTAACAGTTTCAAATACAGAGCTGGACATGTTAGCATACCACGTTAGCATTGCTATGGCTATATCAATCTTATTCTATACATTACACCTGTATGTGCCCCACAGGACCCTGTAGATACCTATACATTACACCTGTATACATTACACCTGTATATGCCCCACAGGACCCTGTAAATACCTATACATTACACCTGTATACATTACACCTGTATGTGCCCCACAGGACCCTGTAAATACCTATACATTACACCTGTATACATTACACCTGTATGTGCCCCACAGGACCCTGTAAATACCTGTATTTATGCTTTTGCAAAATCACGGAACTGCCTTGTGTCTGTTGTGATGAGACAGGTGTAGACACAGGTGTAGGTACAGGTGTAGACACAGGTGTAGGTACAGGTGTAGACACAAGACACTTCCCCCTCATTAGAATGAGTCTGTGTGTGACTCTAGGACCCTGCTCTCCCATTGGACACAGACACTAGGACCCTGCTCTCCCATTGGACACAGACACTAGGACCCTGCTCTCCCATTGGACACAGACTCTAGGACCCTGCTCTCTCATTGGACACAGACTCTAGAACCCTGCTCTCCCATTGGACACAGACACTAGGACCCTGTTCTCCCATTGGACACAGACACTAGAACCCTGCTCTCCCATTGGACACAGACTCTAGAACCCTGCTCTCCCATTGGACACAGACTCTAGGACCCTGCTCTCCCATTGGACACAGACTCTAGGACCCTGCTCTCCCATTGGACACAGACACTAGGACCCTGCTCTCCCATTGGACACAGACTCTAGAACCCTGCTCTCCCATTGGACACAGACTCTAGGACCCTGCTCTCTCATTGGACACAGACTCTAGAACCCTGCTCTCCCATTGGGTACAGACTCTAGAACCCTGCTCTCCCATTGGGTACAGACTCTAGAACCCTGCTCTCCCATTGGACACAGACACTAGGACCCTGCTCTCTCATTGGATACAGACTCTAGAACCCTGCTCTCCCATTGGACACAGACACTAGGACCCTGCTCTCCCATTGGACATAGACTCTAGGACCCTGCTCTCCCATTGGACACAGACTCTAGGACCCTGCTCTCCCATTGGACACAGACACTAGAACCCTGCTCTCCCATTGGACACAGACTCTAGAACCCTGCTCTCCCATTGGGTACAGACTCTAGAACCCTGCTCTCCCATTGGGTACAGACTCTAGAACCCTGCTCTCCCATTGGACACAGACACTAGGACCCTGCTCTCTCATTGGACACAGACTCTAGGACCCTGCTCTCCCATTGGACACAGACACTAGGACCCTGCTCTCCCATTGGACACAGACTCTAGAACCCTACTCTCTCATTGGACACAGACACTAGGACCCTGCTCTCTCATTGGACACAGACTCTAGGACCCTGCTCTCTCATTGGACACAGACACTAGGACCCTGCTCTCCCATTGGACATAGACTCTAGGACCCTGCTCTCCCATTGGACACAGACTCTAGAACCCTGCTCTCCCATTCGACACAGACTCTAGGACCCTGCTCTCCCATTGGACACAGACACTAGGACCCTGCTCTCCCATTGGACATAGACTCTAGGACCCTGCTCTCCCATTGGACACAGACTCTAGGACCCTGCTCTCCCATTGGACACAGACACTAGAACCCTGCTCTCCCATTGGACACAGACTCTAGAACCCTGCTCTCCCATTGGGTACAGACTCTAGAACCCTGCTCTCCCATTGGGTACAGACTCTAGAACCCTGCTCTCCCATTGGACACAGACACTAGGACCCTGCTCTCTCATTGGACACAGACTCTAGGACCCTGCTCTCCCATTGGACACAGACACTAGGACCCTGCTCTCCCATTGGACACAGACTCTAGAACCCCTACTCTCTCATTGGACACAGACACTAGGACCCTGCTCTCTCATTGGACACAGACTCTAGGACCCTGCTCTCTCATTGGACACAGACTCTAGAACCCTGCTCTCTCATTGGACACAGACTCTAGAACCCTGCTCTCCCATTGGACACAGACACTAGGACCCTGCTCTCCCATTGGACACAGACACTAGGATCCTGCTCTCTCATTGGACACAGACACTAGGACCCTGCTCTCTCATTGGACATAGACACTAGGACCCTGCTCTCCCATTGGACACAGACACTAGGACCCTGCTCTCTCATTGGACACAGACACTAGGACCCTGCTCTCCCATTGGACACAGACTCTAGAACCCTGCTCTCTCATTGGACACAGACACTAGGACCCTGCTCTCCCATTGGACACAGACACTAGGACCCTGCTCTCCCATTGGACACAGACTCTAGAACCCTGCTCTCTCATTGGACACAGACACTAGGACCCTGCTCTCCCATTGGATACAGACTCTAGAACCCTGCTCTCTCATTGGACACAGACACTAGGACCCTGCTCTCTCATTGGACACAGACTCTAGAACCCTGCTCTCTCATTGGACACAGACACTAGAACCCTGCTCTCCCATTGGACACAGACTCTAGAACCCTGCTCTCTCATTGGACACAGACTCTAGAACCCTGCTCTCTCATTGGACACAGACTCTAGAACCCTGCTCTCCCATTGGACACAGACACTAGGACCCTGCTCTCTCATTGGACACAGACTCTAGAACCCTGCTCTCTCATTGGACACAGACACTAGGACCCTGCTCTCCCATTGGACACAGACTCTAGAACTAGGACCCTGCTCTCTCATTGGACACAGACTCTAGAACCCTGCTCTCTCATTGGACACAGACACTAGGACCCTGCTCTCCCATTGGACACAGACTCTAGGACCCTGCTCTCTCATTGGACACAGACTCTAGGACCCTGCTCTCTCATTGGACACAGACTCTAGGACCCTGCTCTCTCATTGGACACAGACTCTAGAACCCTGCTCTCTCATTGGACACAGACACTAGGACCCTGCTCTCTCATTGGACACAGACTCTAGAACCCTGCTCTCCCATTGGACACAGAGACTCGCCGTAAACTATGCAGCAGCTGTATATATAGTCCACAGATAAGACTGGTATGCGGCTGTGGTATGCGGCTGTGGATGTAGAGTCAAACAGCGGAAACTATATGCACCAATCAGAAGAGGAAGTGAGCAACAGGACGCAGCAGCGACCACAACACCTTCTGCAGACTCTTACATCAGTCACAAGGAG